TGTTTCTGAGAAAAATGAGATCCACATGAGAGGACATTTGTTTCAAATTTTGATAGAACAGCAGCAACATTTTGTATTTTAGTCACAACCCAAAATGTGATGTGCACATACGTGGACGCCAGGTCCTAGGAGGTTAAGAGAGAATCCAGCCCGTGGTTTTTAGGAACAATGATCATGTCAGTCCACGTCCCCTCATGAACTTTTCCACAGGTTCACAGAAAAACAGACGGCAGAATAAAAACCGTCCTGAATGCTGTCGAGCAGGTTTTCCTGCGAGTTACCGGTGCAGCCGTCACGACATCAGACACAAAATGCTTCCAATCTTTCCCACGACCACACGGGATCTCCTCCCTGGTGAAAGCAGCAGAGCAGACACTGACGTGTGCAGCTGTGCGTCCACGGGACAACAGCTGGCGAGGTTAATGAGGGTCGACACCAATAACAGGCCGATGATTTTATTCTGTTTAAATGAAAAAGAAAACTTTGTCTCAACGTTACAGAAACATAAACTCAGATGTGACGAGCGGCTCGCAGCAGGAACGCCGGGATCAGTTTACAGGAAGCGTTCCATTTCTTTAACCCCGGCGCTCTGCCAAATCAGCTGTAGGCTTTACATAACAGTTCATGTAACAGCAGATGGGGGGGGGCATCTCTCTGACTGCACACCTGCAGCTTTGTGTACGACACCTCAGCCCAAACCTCAGTTTTTCCTCGAGCTCTGTGAAGCTGGAGCGGAGCCGAGGTGTGTGCGTTTACTCGCCGGCTGCAGTTCCTGCGACGGCCTGTGGGGGCAGCAGCTGTAAGCTCTCACAGGTCGATGGTTCCTTTCACTTTGAACTTCTTGGCGGCGCGTTCGCTGGCTCGATACTCGAACTTGCTGCCGTAGATGTGCGAGACGAAGCCGTTGATCTCCACCGCAAACACGCTGTTCCTCTTTGGGATCACTGAGGGGCCGAAGCAGGAAACCACGTTTCAATCTGATGAAGCAGATTCATTGCTGCACACGCACCTTCACTTCCTGTCTTCAGCCGTAACACATCCTCTTCCAGACCACATTCAAACCATTACACCATCGTAGTCATCTGTAACAGTCAGCCCGCCACATCCACACAAACCGACACACGGACAGACTCACACACTCCTCACCTTTCAGTTTGTCGTCTCTGGTGATGATCTTGAAGACGTGTTTGAACTCTTGCAGCAGAATCCCAGACGTCCCCACGTACGACGGACACTTGGACCGCACCACTGCAGCGGGACAAGAACAGACGGTCATGTTGCACGAGCGTCAGTAGGCTTCAGTCTCTGCAGCAGCAGGAAAACCAGGAGCTGGGGGGGGGGCTGCAAAGAGGCTTGCAGCAAGCAGCTCAAACAGTTCAAACATGCTGCTGCAGTAAATATTATATCAATTTAAACTTCCAGATGATTTCATGCTAAACATCAAAACTGACTCGGCCTGTTTGGAGAGTAAAGAAGGAAACCAGGAGCTTCAGGTGCTCGCAGCATGCTCGCAGCACTGCTGTTCACGCGGTTATTTCCTAATAAAAGAATAAAACTGAGATGCAGATGAACATCTGAGAAGACTCGTGTCCTCAGGAA